ATGCATCATATAAACATTTTCTTATAGGGACAATATATACTTGTTACATTAAAATGATACAAATATATTTTACAAACAGATAGCAAGAAAATTATTCTTTTTAATGTCAACTTAAAACTGTTTGCTTTTTTTGCTTTGACTTATCGACTTATTTAGTTGCTGGAAATAACAGCTCAAAAGAAACAAAAATAAAAACAAATCATTTAAATTATTACTTATTTTTTTCTATTTAAGCTTATTTCAATCTCCTATTTTGTTTTTTTGTTGTTTTTTTTTAATTTTTGAAACTTTTTTCCGCAACACTTAATATAATCAAACTTTCTATGAATTTATTTTGAACAATTTAAACGTAATAATTTAAAAACACTACAAAAAATCGAAAGTTTTGAAGTCATTATTACAGATTGATAGAATGGAATCTTTACTATTATAAAACTTATAAAATGGTGAAATTAAATGTTAAAACCATTATTTGAAAAAATTATTTTTAAGAAACAAAGAATTTCTAATGTTTCAAAGAAAAGTTTATAAGTTTTACTAATGCTTCAATGGCAATAAAACATTAAACATGAATTTATTTTGAACAATTTAAATGTAAAAATAAATAAAAAAATCATTAAATTAAGAAATACTAAAGCAGTTAACTGTTATTTAAGGTAACATGATTTTAAGATTAAGAGTGACTTTCTGTAAGAATCAGCCAAAAACACTAAATATTAGGAGTGACCACCTTCACAATCACTAATTTTTTAATATGTAGTTACTATTATTCATACTAGAAGCTCCTTTCCGAAATTTTTAAAAAAAATATTAATTGATTCTCTAGATAATGTCAAAGTTTAACTAAACTTTTAGAAATATTGACCAAAAGGTCTTGAAGGCATTTTTAAACTCGAAAAGCAAAGTAAATACTTTACAATGAGTATTCCACTTGATTGTTTATTGGTTAGTTTAGACCAAAATTTATTTTTTATTATTATTCAAAATATGCAAAAAATGATATATTTTTTTTGTCATTTTTGATCTTGGCTTTCATTTTAATTTGCTATTATCCCAGTTTTTTTTTTTTTTTTTTTTGTTATTATAAATCTTGTAGGTACCTAAAAGTATAAAAGCACCTATGGGGAAGCAAAGGCTTTCCCGCAAAATTGAACTAAAAAATGAAATTCTAATCTTTTTACGCATTGATTGTAACATGATAATGGTTAATGCACTGGGTTCAATGTAAAATTCAATTTAAAAAAACTTGTAATGACCCTTTAATCTACCTTATTTATAAGAAATACTTATAGGGTATTGCAATAGTTCAGGAAAAATAACATAAATAGTATAGATATTTTCTTAGTGCTTCTATATTTATTTATAAGCGCTTGAATTCAGTATGTTTCCTTGTTATTCTACTTGATATCATATTTTAAGGTCTTAAAGAGCTATGAGCTAGTTGGTGATGAAATCAGAGAAAATATCAGTTTGTCTTGGGACCAGTCCAATTAAATTCCAGTTTAAAAGAAAACTTGAGCTTATCAATAAATCCACAAAGTAACAAATGCCAAAGAAATATAAACATGGAAAAACCAACAGAAAAAATTTGCAGAATATATTACAGAATTGATTGGAAGAGTTTTTAAAAGTGCTTGAAGGTAATGCCAAACAGAATTTCCAAATGAAATTGAAAAAATTTTTAAAATGTATAAAAACAGTGGTGCAACAAGTAATTTTGAAATTTATTGATCATAATAAATACACAAAGCATTTTTATGCAACACATTTAAGTGCGCAAAATATAAATTAAGACCTGCCAGAAAATGGAAAACCTCACAAAAAGGTTTTGTACTACCCCAAAAGAATTGATTTATTAAAATATTTCTTATGGCATGTCCAAAATAATGTATGTCATTTTAACAGCAAAAAACACCATTGCTTTATATAGTGAAAGTTGCAAAGAAATTGCATACAAGTCTCTGCCCAACTCAAGATCAATGTGAATACTAAATGGAATTAAACCATCTCGTAGAAAATTCAATTCTAATCCAAAGCTATTTAAAATAAAATGTGGTGTTCCACAGGGATCAATTTTTGCCCCCTTTTTGTTCCTTATATACATTATTTTGTTCCTTATATCCATGACCTTCCTAAGGCCTCTACAAATCTTGATTGCATTATGTTTTTAGATGATACAAATCTGTTTTATTCATCTTCTCCTATCAATGATCTTTTTGACAAAGTCAACCTTGAGCTTCAACAACTTAAAACATGGTTCAGTGTTAATAAGTTATCAATATACATACAAAAAACTAAATATATGTTAATTCACTCAAAGAAACAACAACAAAAAAGGCACTTCCATAAATTCTTCCCTCTCTAAGTATTGATTTCAACAATATTGAAATAACCCAAACAATTAAATTTCTTGGAATGGTTATAGACAAAAATGCTTCATGGGCAGCACAAATAAAGGCCATCAACACTCAAATATCTAATCTTGGTTTACTTTTTAAAGCTAGACCATTTTTATCACAAAAAAACTTGAAAATTCTTTACTTTTTGTTTATACATAGTCATCTTACAAACACTAACATTGCTTTGGGAAGCACACACAAGACAAAATTGATATCTCTTTATCGACAGCAGAAACATTCTTCTACAGTTATATATCATAAAAACAAACGTACACATGCTAAACCTCTATTAAAAGAAATGAAAGTGCTAAATATTTATCAAATCAATATCTATGCTAATATACTATTCATGCTAAAATACAAAATGGGATTAGTAACTTCACAATTCACAGAAAACCTCTTTCATTCAATTACCAATAAGTTTAACACTAGAGCAACTGGTAACTTTATTGTACCAAATAAAAAAAAAAATCTCTCAATTCTCTATATCTTATCGCGCCCCTATTTGTATAATAAATTAACTCCGAAATTCATCTTAATTATTCTTACTGGCAATATATTTTCTTTAAAATCAAAACTTAAAAATCTTGTTCTTAATATAGATAATTACATAGAGTTGTTCTAGTTCACATGATAAATAAAAAGTTGAACTAAAACAGTCTACAACGTGAGTCGGATTGTGTGTGTATATATATACATACAAATATAAAAACGTTAAAAAAAAAAAATACACACAAATCATAATACAACTAGAAAAAACGAAACAAAATTTTATTGTATTTAAAATTTTTGTGCATAAAAATCACAATGTTTATGTGCATCTTGCGTATTACCCCAAAGTTCTCGATGACAAGACTTATTCAGTTTTCTGCGAGTTCTTTATAACAATAAAATCTATCTTAACAAGTCCTTCATAATATATTCGACTAATTCTTCCTAGATTTTTTTTTTTTCCAATTGTTTTTTCTCTTTTAACTGAGTGCTATTTATATTTCTGTTTAATGTATTGTAGCCGTATTTAGTTAAATATAATCGTTTGTAACAAGTATATTTTGCATATATTACGATGCGAAAAAATTGTAACTAATATGTTCAATAAAAAATCAACTGTTGAGAAACTTGAAAGATCAAAAAGGTATTTAAAATAAATATATAAACTTTAGTGCTGCTATTTGGAAAATAAAAACCTTCAACTTAATTGTTCTTTCTCATTCTGAAAACATTAAAATGCAATTATTTAGCATTTTAAATGATTCTGTATGCTATGAAAGCAATGAGCTGTTTGAAGTTTAAGATGAAGTCAACCAAATAATAAATGAAAATGATGTTGGTGATGATGTCTAGTATGACATTAAAGTATCAATAGACAGCATCACAGAGTATATGAAACACAATCAGTAGACAGCATCACAGAGTATATGAAACACCTCTTAAGAGATGCACAACAGAAAAAGGAAAAGAATGATGCATATAAACAACTAGATGACAAAACAGCATTTTGGTTAAAAGAGTATTCACAAAAGATATTAACTATGAAGTTTAGAGAGGGTCAGATTGACTACTTTGGGAAGAAGGGCATTAGTATGCATATAGATGTTTTTTTACCCCAAAAAAATGACATTCTCAAAAAGCATGTTTACATAACAATTTTATATCGCTTGTTATGTAAAGCATATTTCTATAACAACTTTATATTTGCTGCGATCAAGGTAGTTCCTCTGTTTTGAGTTCTAAAATAAGTTCTAAATCAGTTTCGCTTAGATAAATTATACACAAAAAATATGGTAGAGTAACAAGGAAACATACTGAATTCAAGCGTCAAGAAAATATATATACTATTTATGTTATTTTTTCTGAACTATTGCAATACCCTATAAGTATTTCTTATAAATATGGTAAATTAAAGGTCAATACAAGTTTCCTTTACAATTTTTTATAAATTTTGGTCTGAACTAGCCAATAAAATAAACTTTGACATCATCTAGAGAACCAATTAATTTTTTTTTTTTAATTTCACAATTGAGCTTCTAGTATGAATAGTAACTACATATTAAAAAATTAGTGATTGTGAAGGGGATCACTATTGAGCTCTGTCTGATTCTAAAGTTCAAAAGAATAACACATAGTAAACAAAAGCAATTTTTTAACATTAACTTAATATAATCATGAGAAGTATATTTATATTATAAAAGTTATACTAAAAATATAATATTTATATATAATACCATACCAAAAAATAATTTAAGAAAAAATTTAATAGTATGTTTCAATGCAAAATTAACTATTTTTATATATAAAGCTAAATAAATACTAATAACAAGAAATGATAAAACTTTTTACTACATTTTGACCATACACAGTTTAATTGACAAATTGACAATAACTATTTGCATTAACAAAGTTGTCTACTTTACATACTTATATATATATATATATATATATATATATATATATATATATATATATATATATATATATATATATATATATATATATATATATACACACACACACACGCACAAAAACACTAATACCGCATTTATTTATTTACTATTAATATAACAATTTGTGACAATATATTAAATAACTAATAATATATACCTCTTCGTTTTTTAGTATTGTGGTCGACAGCAAATTCAATATTATTTTTAATCTTAATAAAAAAAAAATACTAATAATAACAACAAAAATATAAATAATAAAAATGATTATTTTGATTTTAAATAATATTTTAAACTGCAATAATATTTTAAAATAATTGCTAAATAATAATTTTGTTTTTATTTTCAATTTAAAATGGTATGTTAATGTAATGTTCAATTTATATATATATATATATATTTTTAATTTATTCTCAGCAAAGGTAAAAGCAACCTTTAGCTGGGAATTTAGTGGTTAACAGAAAGCAAAGAAGAGAGTTGAAAAGTCAAATAGGAAAGAATAAATACACTTTAGATTAATTCTAAATGATGAGTTATGTGAGATTGAGTATTAATTCATGGAACAAATATATATAAGTTATAATATATAAGTTAGATTAAGAGAGGTCAGAGAAAAACAATCAAAAGATATAAATTAAAGGACTTAGTAAGAATTATTCATCCATTTATAAATCTCAGCATTTTTGTGGTATGATCAGTAAACTTTTTTTAGGTTTAATGCGACTGTGAGTCTGTTATAAGCCACTGTGAGTCTGTGAGTCAAGTTTACAAGTCATGTTCACTGTTATAGTCAGTCAAAAAAACTTTTGTGTCAAGAATGGAGTATATATATATATATATATATATATATATATATATATATATATATATATACACACAAAAAGTACTGCGTACTAAGGTAAGCAATCTGACGTCATACTTAAATAGCCTGCTGCTGGGGGCTTCAGTACATACATCGACTGAGGGTTTGGGATGGGGCAGCAATCGTTTCATTCATCATTCTTTGTTTTTTTTCTTCTTCTTTTTCTAAAAAAGCCATTTGGGTTAAAGTAAGCAAAAAAAGTGAGCAAATGCTTATAAAAATACTCTTTGTTAAGTGTGTGTGTGTGTGTTTATATATATATATATATATATATATATATATATATATATATATATATATATATATATATATATATATATATATATATATATATATATATATATATATATATATATATATATATATATATATATATATATTGTTGTCATCAGTAAATAAAGCAACTTTAGAAGTAACAGAAATTGCATTAATATAAATGAAGAACAATACAAGAATAAAACTATAAGGTACTTCAGAAAACTTTATCAATAGTCTTTGATGTTAATGATGTACCAATAAAAAGCTAAAAATTTTTGCACAATAACATTAACTTTTTATAATTGATTTGCTGATTCTATAAGAGATTGCTCTTTTATATTTTTTTATCCTACCTTATGAGCAAGCTTAATGAGGAAAAAGATCAAAGATTTAGTGAGATTACAACATGATCTGAACCACATTGGGAGCATGGTAATACAGACCAGCCATCCATTGTGAGAAGCAAGTCACCAAGAACAACATTGGCAAATAAAAAAAGAGATAGGAATCTGTATCTAGTTATTTAATGATCAGAAAATAATTAGTTAACTAGATAATAATTAGTTAACTAAATACATAATTAAAATTAAAATAAATAGATGCTACTTTGTATAAATGAATATAATAGAGTAAAATTTAATTGTTTATTCTTGCAGCAAATCAATACTAAACTGTCATTTTTCTTAGACTTTTATCTCTAGTTTCAACAAACAAAATTCCTACATGTATAAATGTTGTAAACTGTCAACCTACATGTATAAATGTTGTAGCCTGCCAACACAGATTTCTGAATTATTTATAGATTTTAATATATATTTACACGTAAAAAATTTATCAGTCATTTTTTCCAAATTGAATCATTTTTTAAAGAATCTTAAACATAAATAATGGTTGGGTTCTAAAACAAATTTTCAAAAAGTAAATAAAAAATAAGTTTATAACTTTAACATATGAGATTAATATTTACAAACAAGAACTGGATTAGCATTTTGCAGCTCTGGTGGTCTAAAACAATTTTCATTTATTGTGTACCAAAGTGGTAAAAATAGTTTTTAAAATAAAGATAACTATTGCATGGTAATTTAATGATTAAATGAGGAAAGATAAAAATGATAAACTATTCTGCTGACAAAAACTTTGATTTATTATTTGGCAAATGATTTAATTTAGTTAAAAAATAGGTCTAAGTAATAAACTTACTTCACCAAATTGTGAGAAATATTCTCTAAGTTTTTCTTCTGTTGTTTCTGTTTGCAAGCCACCAACAAATATTTTTTTAGTTCGTTGTTCAGGTTTCTAAAATAGATAAATTATAAAGTTTAACAAAAAAAAATTATTAATATTTATTATTAGGAAAAAGGATTAATTACAAGGATAAAAGTAGAAAATCATAAAAAACAGATTTTATTGGGACACCAAGATAAAAAAAACACACAAAATAACAAGTTTCGTATTGGCATTATATAAAACAGACCAACTTGTGAAAGGAGAAACAAGCAATTAAAAAAAAATCTTTTACTTACAACTCCCATTGGACATGCAGACTTTGGATCAATCTAAATATTTTTGATTAAAAGTTTAAATGCTCAACAAAATTTATTTGCTAATAGCAAAATTTAAAAGAAATCCTCACTTTAGATCCATCTAATATATGAGGTTCAGCCTGGTTGAGAACTTCATCAGCAGATTCTTGTGTAACAAATTTTACAAATGCAAAGCCTCTAATTGTATAAAATATATAAAAACAGTTTACCACACACAGTGTAAGAAAAAAAGCCTATCAAAAGTAAATTAAAAACAATAGGTAGTAAATTTCATAAACACAAAACAATATTACTCTATATAAAATTATACAAATTGTTTTTTAAAAACTCATTTAAACTTTCTGTTTAATATATTATGTTCTTATATCATCATCATCACCATCATCATCATCAGGAGCATTGCACAGCATGTATTTCACATACAAAATGGCAATTTGCATACATGTTCAGCAATTTTAGGTTAAGCAAAAACTTTTTTATTTTGGAATAATTATCTTTCCTTTTTTTTTTTTGCAACTTTTATTTTATAAAAAAAAATTTAATTTATTATAATGTATTATAGCTGAATAGGTACCCACTTATTTTGTTTCTCTGATAAATATACATACATGCAACAAAACAAAAATATAGTAAACACATATATACAAAGCTATAAAAGTATGACTTTTATATTGTCATGAACTACTATGTAACTTTCACACGCCTGTAGTTTCAAAATATACTTTTTAGAACTGTTTATGAGTAGAACAAAGTGGACAAAGGATGCTTTAAATTAAATATGATTTTTAAAATTAAAAATTTAAATTAAGTTTTGAAGTAATGTAAAATAGTAAAACCTAGAATGTAAAATGTTTTAAAAGAATGTAAAATAGCTTTGCAATATTTAATAAAAAAAGAATGTAAAATAGCTTTGCAATATTTAATAAAAAAAGAATTTTTTTTGCTAACTAATTCATTATTGACTTCTAACTAATTCATTAAGTAAAAAAAGATGATGGATTAAACACCTATACATGGATTAATAACTGAATTATGACTAAAAAGTTAGCCCAGGCATCTTGCAGAGACAAGCATCCTCTTTCACAGTGACAGTAATTGTGATTTGGAAAATAGTCGTGCTCGATGACCGTAACACTAATCCTTATGGGCTAGGCCCAATATTTTTTAAATACTTATGTTTGGAACAAAGCATATTTTGATAGTTGTCAAGACAAAAATAAAGATTAATAGAGGAATATTTAAAAATAAATAAGACAGACAATGCACCTAAACAGTACTTAACAATAATAATTATTATTATTATAAAATAAAAAAAATTGTTTTATAAACACTAATATGAACGAAGATATACAACAAATATATCACCAGATAAAAAACTTATAAAAAAAAATTGATTACAATGAACATGAAGTATGCTAACAACGATGGAAGGCCTCAGAATGGAAAAAAAACATTAATGTGTAAACATAATTTGTATAGTAATTAAGTAATAAACATCTCCTTGTGTCTAATTATAATTACTTATTTAATTATTAAATTATTAAACAGTCAAAACAAACATCTTTTAAATGTTTTTTTAAATACCAGGTTATTTAATATCATTTTAACAATTTAAGAATTATAAATAAGGATTAATTAAATACCAGCCAATTTAAGGATTATAAACTAAAAGAAAAAATTAAGAATTATGAAACATTAAACTTGATTTTTGTTTAGGGAGGAATAATTTATTTAAAAAATTAAATGTTTTAAATCAGAAAAAAATTATTCATTAATAAAAATAATAAAAAAGATAATTAAAATAAGTCATTAGAGTTTTTTTTTACCCTTTCATTGCTATTCTTTGCTATTTTTTTATCTTATTATTTGTACATACACAGAATATTTGGGAATGTGCAGAGTGTACATATAGTGAATGAAATGAATAGGCAAAAGATATAGTAAACACACACTGACTAAAGATTTTTGTCAGAATTAGTAATTTAATTCTAACCCTAACCTTAATGGATGCATACTCCCTGCATGTACTTCTAATTTAAGGCAGTCAATCTATGTACACTCTATGGTGCCAATTTATTCAGTTACAAAACATCAATTAAAAAATATCATAATTGATATAACACATTGATATTACCACACACACAAAAAAAAAAAAATTCTTTAATCTTTTAAAACTTAATTCATTTCAATATAAATATAGCAAATGTGGCGTTCTTCAACTTTGCGTGAAAATAATATAGGTAAAGATGGTGTTACAAAAATTATTTATCCATTCTTAAAATTATGCTAACTTAAAATAAATTTCATTACAATAAAGCCAATGTTTTCTTACTTAAACAAATCTATATATTACCAAAGATTTCAAAATCAAACTACCCTAATAACCAATAAATTGAATAATAACTATTAACCAATATCTGTTGAAAGAAGATTAACAAAATTACGTTTGTTAATATTTCATAAAATAATTTAACATCACAAATATTATATACTCGCAAATATACATTAACTACCCACTAATGTACATCAACCACAAGTGGTTAATTTTTTACCTTCAATAAAAAATTAACTACTATTTAAGAGAAATACTTTCTGAAAAATAAACAAAAACAAAAAAACTTTTCAAAAAATTTGTTGAAATTTTTACCTATGTTTGTTTAAATCCTCTTTGTTTCGTTTTAAATTGACGCTTTCAACTTCACCAAACTTCTCAAAATAGTTTCGTAGAGACTCTAAGGAAAATAAGAAGGGTTTTTTTCTGATTGTTTTTTTAATTTTTTATTTGTTTTATCTATATAGTTTTATATATCTAAATACAGTGATGTACCTAGAAGTTATTTACCAGTATAAAATTTTTTGATGGTCATAAGGACTTTTTTAATGCACAATTATATCAATTATTAAAGGGATCCCAAACTCCCGACACATGTTGTGTTCATATTAAAGATAATGTTAAAAAAAAAGGTTTGAACCAAATTTTTTTGATTAAAAATAAATAATGAATGCATACCGTGAAAAACAAATGTTGTTGTTTTTGCCGAAGCTCGTCTTCTCCATTTTTAACAAAAGAAAAGTGTAATTAAACTAAGCTGCGTTTTTCTACTGTAGTATTTTTTTAACATACAGCAAAACAAATTTATTTGTATTATTTTTCCAAACATCGCAAAAAAAATTTTGTAAAAAGTAAAAACAATAAATTATTTTTATTTTATAGGAGCAACTTATTTTTTACAGATACTTTTTACAGATACAGATTTTTACAGATCTTAATAATTTTTAGATTTATATATCTTACTTATATTTCTTTAATTATTTTAATTAAAACAAATATTAAAGCTTTACTTACCAATCTCATGATTTTCATACGAGTATTTTACTTTATATAGAACGTTTTATATACGGTCTCTTGTTTTTGCGCAAGAGAGCGCAGTATTATATATTCTGATTCTTAATTATTTTTATTTAAACAAAGGGAACTATTTTCTAACTTCTCTGGTTATTTTTACGCTATGACAATTTTTTGTTTTCCCGTCGAAAAAAAGTATTTATTAACAATTACTTTCATAAACTGACAGTATTAATTAGAGATATTTAATGAATTGTTAACTTTTTTTATTATAAAATTTTTTTGATCACGCTGATTTAATTTAAATTGCTAAATTTGCTGAATTGGATACGGATAAAAAGGAAATGCCATTTTATTTTACATTTGATTTTTGATAATGAAATTTTTAAAGTGTCAGCAACTCTATACCAATTAGAACCTGTTAAGATTATGAAAAAAAAGTGCAAGAATACACTAAACAATACAGTTGACAGTAGTATCAGATATGAAAATTCGTGAAAGGATTTGTGAGATCCTGATTTTGCATTAAAAGTACAATTAATTGCAACACAAGTCGGCATTAGAAATTTTGATTATAAGTTTACTGTTCAATATTTTATAACCATCAAATAAAAAACATAAAGTTTGTATATTTTCGCCTGTTTTATACAACTAATATTTAACAAAAATACGGACAAATTATTATTAAATAACGCAATAATTAACACATTAATTAAAGGCAATAATTCAAGATAGATGGTAATTTAAATTGTTAAAATGTCATAACGCGAATTAAAAAACATATTATATTAGGTATTTCCAAATTTGTGTCGTAATTGGCATTTGTCTCTTAACATAAAAAATTAAAAAATTTTAAAAACACAATTAACAAATACAAATTTTCAAGCAATTTTCTCTTCCAATTCTCACTTATTCAAAGAAAATTTACTATTAAACTTTTATTTCTCTCATTTTAAAAAGAATGAGTGAAGCAAAAAAAATATATATTCTTTACAACTCTTACTCATTCAAAGTTTAATTGCGCGAAACATTTCTTTCTCTTTTGTTCTACTCTTTTATAAAAAGAGCGCCTGATGAAATAAAAACTTTTCTTTTTTAACATATAATTATAGTTTGAGATAAAATTAAATTAGAAATAAATCAACAATGAGCAAAGCAACGAACAGGTTAATCTGGAACTATTTTGATATTTATGAAAATAATCAACATAAACAACATTGCCAACAACAATTATCAAATAAACAACACAATCTCGCATAATTTTAGGGCATTTTATTATTATTGCTTAGTCGTTCTAAATAATAAGTAAATTTAGTTCAAGTTAATAATTCAATATTTACAGTTGCAATAGAATAAAGAAATGGTGTTTAATACTTAACTTTTTATTTAGTTATTTATTTTTTTACCTACATTTGTTATAAAAAACTTTAGAACCCCCGTCATTAAAATAATTTGTTTTAAATATATATTGATTTACGTGATTATTCAAACTAATTTTTTTCGTTTTACTTTCCGAACTTCATGCAAAGCAAATTGAAACGAAATATCGTCTAACCAAATAAAAAAGCTGTTACTAATTTTATACGGGTAATTAATGTAAAACAATTTTTGAGATAATAAATATTCATAATTTATAAACATTAAATATATGGCGCAATAAAAATTTATAGCAATGAACCAGCATAAAAGGTTTTTAATATCTTTTTAAATATTAAAAGTAGAAAAAAAAAAAAACTAAACAAATAATCAAAAAAAATTCGACTAAAAATAAATAAAAATATTTCTAGAGTTTAATTTATTAAAAGTCTACCGTGACGTCAAATACTAAAACTTTTATGAATTAAACGCGCTTCAAAGGAATTGCCAAAGTCTGTAGATTGCGACGCATAATTTGAAGACTCAGATTAGTTCAAAAAAATGGAGAAGACGAGCTTCGGCAAAAACAACAACATTTGTTTTTCACGGTATGCATTCATTATTTATTTTTATTCAAAAAAATTTGGCTCAAACCTTTTTTTTTAACATTATCTTTAATATGAACACAACATGTGTTGGGAGTTTGGGATCCCTTTAAGTCTAGGTGGAAATTCAGGCACCCAAATCAGTATATCAGTGTCAAAATGACCTGGCCCCACTGATATATATATAGCTTTTTACAGCATAAGAAGTGGGATAGCTCCCTAAAAAAATACTCATAGACAAACTATAGGACAAAAAATACATGATTTTTATATAGAAAGCTGAAACACCTACAAATAGTTGCATGTTTATGTATTGAGTATGAGAAGCATAGAAACATTAGTTTTTAAATTAAATTTTTATTCTGATAAAAATAAATGATTTAATTTTGATTTAAAAAATATATAGATTAATTTTGATTGAAAATATATATTTAAGTTACAAATATATATTTTATATTTATAAATATTATAAATATATATTTAAATTAGAATTAAAGTTTTGCTTGGGTTTAACTTAACTGTTAAATTTAAAAATATTACTAAGTATTGTTTAGTATCTAAATTTTATTTATTCTTAAAAAATCCTCCCTTTTATCTCAATTGTTTTTTTGGTTTTCCCTCATAAAGATTTTTTTTTTACTCAAAATAAAATTTAAATAAACATGTTCCAAGGTTGCATCAAAAACATAAGTTAAACTTTTTTTGTAACGCAAGTTATAGCGCAGCAGTTATTTTTTTGATAATTGATATACATAATATAATTTTATTAAATGGTATTTGAAAATATAACCTTTGCTTTCATAACAAAATTAACAAATTTTCATAATAAAATAATAAATAGTTAATAAATAGCCATAATTTTTTTATTTGTTACTCTCTTATTTTTTTTAAAATCATTTTAAGTTGCAAAGCCGCAATTAGAAATTTAAGAAATAATCATTTTTAAAAAATTGCATACAAGTGTCAAAAAAAAAAAAAAAAATTGTTTATTCTCAGTGTAGTTTTAAAATTTTAAAATATTATAGCTTTTGTATGATATTGTTGACTAAGACATATTTCTGCTAAATGATCAGATCTGTGAATTATGAAAAGACAAAAAAAAAAATTAAATGATAAATTATGAGGTATCATAAAATGTAAATTTTTATAGCAAAAAAACCCAGATAATTTTTTTTTTTTTAAATCTTAAAATCCGAATCCCTTTTCCAAATTTGAATAAAATTTTAAACAAATATGTTTTTTAGGTAAAATGAACATCATAGTTTAATATGATTTGCTTTGATCGTTTATTGGCAATTTTTCTTAATTATAAGCTATAAAAATTATAGTATTTTTTGTGAAAATTGATAGAAATATTGTATTTTGACAACTATAGTTAATATTGGTCAGAACCAATTAGAACTATGATCTATAGTAAATTAAGGCACTTTTTCCAAAGATTTAAACTAAACTCATGTTAGCGCCGATGAGCAAAAGTGATCTAAAATCTTAAAAAGGTTAGGGTTAGGGTTAAAAATTAGGTACAAAAAAAAAAAGTTTCTTCAAATATTTTAAAAAACCTGAAGCAAAAAAAAAAATATATAATATCTGAAGCTTTTGTTTGGACATAATGCTTATAAAATCAAAGTAATTTCAAATAACATAATTCAAATAATTTGTAAATCGCCTTAACTAACCGAGTATGAAACATTTTTTTTAATGTAATATTAGATTTAATTATTTAATATAAATAAAAAAATTGAAAGAAAATAAACATTCCTTAATAGTGATAATAAAAAACAAGTTAAATAATATTTAACTTGTTTTGCGGTAATTTAAAAAAAAATGTCTTTCAAAAATTAAAAAATAAAGAGAATTTTATGACGTCAAATTAACTTGAAGGAAATGCATTAAAGGGACTACCAAGTCCCGAGACATGTTGTGTTCATATTAATTAATAAATGTATACCAAGAAAAACAAATCTTGTTGTTTTAGTCGAAGCTTGTCTTCTCCGTTTTCTGTAGGTATTTATTTGTATCATAGATGAGTTTTGAGGTATCATAGGTATTTTGAGTATGTATAATTATCGCGATTTTCCAGGCGCATTATACAGACTTGATAATTTGTTCAAGCACATTTAATTCATAGGAGTTTTAGAGCATGACATCATTGGAAACATTCTAGAAATTCTTTAAAAATTTTACTATTAAATTTTACTCAAATAGCTAACTATAGTTACTTATTTTATTAAAAGTTTATTTTATTAATTGTTCGTTAATTTTTTATATAAATAATTTTTGAAAATCAGAGAAAAAATGCGTTAATAATTTTTTTTTAATATTTACAAAGTTAATTAATAAAAGAGCATTATTATTTATGTTAAAATTAATTTTATCTAATATTTGAAAGAAAAACTTATAACAAAAGAAATCAAAATACACGTGGTCTAGAGGATTATTTAAAAAAAGTTGCGCAAATAAAATACTACTTTGTTTTTTATTTTATTTTTGTTTTTAATTTTATTTTGTTTTTAATTTTGTTTTACAAACACATTTTAAAACTTTAAAATATAATAAAAATGAATATGATTTGGAAATTGTATGTAAAAAATAACAATCAGTGTTTTAAACAAACAAACAAAAAAATTAAAGACGTCATGCACTAAAACTCCTATGAATTAAACGCGCTTGAATAAATTATCAAGTCTGTATAATGCGCCTGGAAAATCGCGTTTATTTTACATACTCAAAATACCAGAGAAAACGGAGAAGACAAGCTTCGACTAAAACAACAAGATTTGTTTTTCTTGGTATACATTTATTAATTAGTTTTAATCAAAAAAAATTTGCTCAGACGTTTTTTTTTAACATTCCCTTTAATATGAACACAACATGTCTCGGGACTTGGTAGTCCCTTTAAGAGATAAAAAACTACAGTAAGCAATGAGTTATAATTATAAAGTAAAAAAAAACGACAATAAACAATAACTTAAAAGATATTTTGCTAATCAACCACTATTTGAAAATTACTAAACCAAAGAAAGTTTTGAAAAAATAAATATAAAGCTAAAAACAATGAACATGAGATATTCCCTAGAATAACTTCTGGATATGCCAACATATCTAACATCACTTAATTATAAAAACGGAAATTATTTATCAAGTAATGTTACCTTCAGTTGTGTCCCAGGCTAATCCACCAACAAACAATTTTCTAAGAAATAAAAAAATTTCATACAATTATATTGAAAAAATAATCAAACTCTATTATTTAGAATTATACACACACACAAATATACAAACCATAAACTATTTTTGATCAGCACCAAGTTTGCACAAAATTTTAACCCAAATGTTTCACCATAATAATATAGAAACAAGGTTAGCAAAAAATCGCTAACCTTAGACATTTTTAGGTCAGCAGTTAAGTCACCATTCCTAAATGCCAACTCTTGTTCAGAGGCCTATATAAGTGATAAGTTTTTATCATTATTTTTTGTGTAAATAAAGTTACCATGATTTCTTTCTTTTAACAGAGTAAAGAAAATCTAAATAAAGCTATTTCAACTGCTACAAGTAAGAAGCTTGGGCTACAATTTTGGTATATCTTAGAGAAACTGGTTATATTTGTAATATTTGATACATTAGTGTCACACAATTCAAAGAGACTTGCTATGATAGAAGAAATAGCACCTAGTTTTCCTCTAAAAAGATTATAAGCATTTTATAGTATCCAAGGTACCAAAACTGTGGTAGCGGTATGGTGGTAGAGTATTCGCTTCATAAACAAGAGGTTCCAAGTTCGATCCCCACCACATCCCTGGTAGTTGCACGCTAAACTCATTTCTCCGCATGACCTTGTTGGTCAAGGATCTTGGATCGAGTTATAGAGTTGAGAGAGGGTTATAACCACAATTAAGTAGCCTCCTCGTCTGTAGTGGCCTTCTCAACCTCGGAGAGGTGAAATGACAAAACAAAAAAACAACAAAAAAACTGCAAGGAACAACAAAAACTGCACTAGTTCGGTCTTTAACATGTTTTTTAGGAATGATAGGAAGAGTTGATTCAATTGATTCAAGAGAATTTAGAAAAAATTCTTTGCAATTAGTTGCATTTTTTTATTGGAAGAGTTCAAAAAACATTTCATATCACATACATGGATTAGATCCAGGGATGGAATGTTCAATTTATCTTTGTTAATTGTTTTCAATAAGTCTGTAGAACCTAACTTCTGAGATAAAAACAAGAATTCAATTCCTGAGAATAACATACACACATAAGCATTATCTAAGGATCGGATTGCCATTAGTACTTGTTAAAGTAAATACCTTTTTGTAATGATTTCTTGCATGCTTAAAACATATTCTCGAGTCCTTAATAAAAGGTTTATACCTTTAAACTAAAAAATGAAATAAAAATCAGCAACATATTGCGTGAATAATTTCACGAATGTAGTGCTATGATTTTAAGTGATTTTAGAAACAATATTGGGTTACAATCAAACTTTGGTAATTGCAGAAACAAGGATGCAAAAACAATGGTGATGATGCATATATGTAAAATATCCCATGAATTTTAATTCAAAACTATTATTTATTTTTTTTTACATTTATGCAGCCCAAATATACCCTTGACTTTGTTTTATCAAATCTCATTTAAATGCAATACCTGGTAATTTACAACTATATTGGGTATTTTAAAAATCCCAAATACATTATAAAAGTATTTGCATTTTCAAAAACATATCGCAAACTACTTATTTAAACTACTTTAAAGGTTTAAACTACTTATTGTTTCATAAAAGAAAATTCAAGAATACTTAATTACCAGACGTCCTCCTTATGCAAAGAAGAGTGTACTAAAATATCAATTCGGTGTTTTTTTATTGATTTGTATTTACTAAGATGTCAGGATCAACTTAGGAGCATTAAGTAAAATATATATAAAAAAATTTAATGTTATAGTTATAGAATTATTTACAGCAACACCACCAAATATATTGTTAAAAAAATGGTGAGATATGTCAAATTATTCACACTAATATTTCAACTGTGCAATTATCCATCCTTCTTGCATTATGGAAAGTTTCTTTGCAAAAAGTTTGAAGTTATTTAAAGTTGTAATTACATTTTAGTAAATGCTTTAAAAACAAACCCAATATACAATTAGCATTTCTGAATAACTTCCTAACAGAAATAATTTATTTACAATAAATATAAAACCAATTAATTAAATACTTAATATTAATATAATACTTAAATATGTATTTTATTTATGCACATTTAAGTAGAAAAAAACAATTATAAAATTGCATCTACCCTTCATTATTATCACTACTTGGGGGAACTGGATAACTCATATTTGGTCTGGAAAATGTTGTATTGTTGGTGTTGTTGTACTCTGTGTTATAGCCGGCCATGTTGTTTGGTTCTTCGGATCGTGTGGTGAAGTTTTATCGACCAGAATGCACTGCAGAGTCGATGCGATGGAGAAAGGTTTTAAGCTGGTTATGATGCAACCAAACGCGATCGAGTGACTAACGGTTCGGTTTTATATCCGGATAAAAACCAAAAATTTGGATTTTGATTAAAATTAAAAATACTTGATTTGTGTTTCAATTTTTATTTAAAAAATTTTAAAATTGTAAAGTATTATAAAGTGAAAAGCAATCATTTTAAAAACGAATTTTTATAATAAAAATTAAAAATCGTTTAAATACTAACTACCTCTTATTCATCAAAACCTTTTATAAAGTTTACGACATCAGTTTCAATATAAATTATAAACTTAAATGAACGAAATCGCCATGGATTACAAAGAATTTTCAAAAATTTTCTAAAATTAAACAAAAACTTTATATTAAATATTTAAAATTTAAAACAATTGAGAGTTGAACCATTTTCAAAGGTTTCAAGATTCTTTGAACGTCAAATCAAAACACATTTGATTATTAATTAAAAAAAAAAATACTAGTAACATCAAAATATTTGCTCGAAATTGTTAAAGTAATTATGATTTTCTTCTAAATCTAGAAGATATTTCTACTGAATTTAATAAATGAAGGAACAAACCTAGCAAAATTAATATCAAAAAGATAAAAGTTCAATAAACAATTTTTTTGGTCTGTTTTGAATAATCTTTTGAATAAAAAGAGTTTGAAAAAAATTTTCAAAATTTTCAGGTCAAATAGAGCAGTTGGTCCAAATGGTATTAAGGTGGTAGACTGCTAAAAAAATTATTTTTGTATTTTACAATATTTCAATAATTTTTTTTACTTCGAACATGATTAATACATTAGAAAATTCATAATTTTTAATTTTTTTTTTTTTTTCATATATATTTTGGGCAAAAACAGGCTAAAATCTTGGCAAAGATATCTCAAAAAGTATAATTTATTAAGTTCTAATTTTTTGTATTTTTATTTGTTTTATGTCAGTTTTATGTCAGACATTTGTTTTATGTCAGATACATCAAATCAGATGTAGATAAATGTTCTGAGATAAAAATTTTTGTTGAAAATTTCTTTATTTTAAAGCATCGTTAAATTTTTCAAAGCGCCATATTAATAATCGAATTTTTGATATTAAGAACAAAAAGTTTGTTGTTTTAAAAGTTTATATTCTAAATTTTTTTTATCTCAGGACATAAAGCTTATTATAATGAATCTCTGTACAAAATTTTAAGTCAATGGGACAATTACAGCTCCTGCAATCTTTGCCAGAAAATTAGAAGAATAAAACAGAGAAAAAAGCATATAAAATTAAAAATATTGAATATACAAACTAATTAAAATCCCCCTTTTTTATATACTGCTCTTCTTAATTTTTGTATTTTTTATCAAACCCTTTCCTAGTTGCTTTAAGATTTTTTCTTTGTTTTTTAATTTTTTTTTATTACTAACCTTAACTAGCGGTTGCTATGAGCGTTGCTAGGGGAAACAAAATTACCCTACTAATATAAATCACTTTTATTAGTTCTTTTTTTTTTTTTTTTTAAATTTTTGCTTACAATAAAATGTCAAAGTACAATTATATATGCCATATATATCGTGTTACAATTAAATTCGTGTTACATCACTTATCAACTAAATTAAAATAAGAAAAAACACGGACATACATATATAAATATAAACATATATACACATACAAACGCGTAGATGCGCACATACATAAACTGCTTACAATGAAACATAAGCTAGGATCTGAAAGAAGATCACAAGATCTTGTCATCAGAACCTTATAAAGCACAAACAAGCAAAATAAATACCAGTATAAGATACAAAAAAATAAAGTAAAAATTAAAATAAAGAAAGTACTGAATCCAAGTTGTATAACAATTTTCAAAATATTAGAAGTATCTGAGTATATCATCAAGTGAAATAATACACTTTTTTAGATTGAGCTTGAAAAGGTAAAAGGAAGTTGGTAAATCAAAATTCTGCAAAACTATATTATTCCATAGGTGGGGTCCACGATAAGCAATGCAAAGTTGAATAAATTTTGTGTGACAAAATGGTTCTTTTAAAAAGTTTATGTTTCTCATATCGTATTTGTTGAAAGGTTTGAGTTTGAAAGTGTTATTAAAAACGGTAGGAGATTGATTATTTCTCCATAGATATACAAAACATAAAACTTTAAATACATTGAGTTCAAATAAATTTAACAATCTCATTTCAGTAAAAAGAGGTTTTGTGTGTGTAAAACGATCGGCATAGTTAATTATGCGGATCGCATGCTTTTGACGACGGTAAAGAAGTTTTAACTTACTTTTTACAGTACTCCCCCAAGCAGTGTTGGCATAATTTATGTAACTGTGGATATAAGAGTAATAAAGTTGTTTTAAGCAATTTTTATTTAGGTAGTTACGAGCTTTATATAGAATCCCAATGTTTTTTGAAATTTTAGTAGATATATAATTAATATGTTGATTCCAGGAGATGTTTTCATTGAGATAAACACCTAAGAATTTTGTAACGGAAATTTGGTTTTGTTAATATTTAAAGTTAGCTTATTACATTTAAACGAGTTTGATATATGTTTTAATTCTTTATTCATAGTAGTAAAGAGTTCGTATATATTACTGTTTGAGAGGAATAGATTGATATCATCTGCGTGCATAATGCTTATAAGGTTAGAAGCTTTATTCAGATCATTTATATATATCAAGAAAAGTAGGGGCCCAAGGATTGAACCCTGAGGAACACCGCAGACGAAAATACCGAAATTTTGAAAATACCGAAAGTACAGAAATGGGTCGATAGTTGCTAATATTTGATCTGTCACCTTCTTTAAAGATAGGAGTAACTTTAGCAACTTTTAATTGTTCTGGAAAAATTCCTTGATTTATAGAAGCTCTAAAAACTTTAAAAAGAATATGTTTTAATATATCGAAACAATCTATGATTACGTTTCCATTAATTTCATCTGCTCCTGTTGCTTTGTTTCTTTTCACAGAATTCAAAGCTACTTCAAATTCCTCAAAAGATAATTCTGAAGATAACTCATCAGAGCAAATGCAATTATCCATAGGTACGAGAAAATCATTAAAAGAAGCCGTCGTATTTGAAATCCTATTTGATAAGGAAGGACCTATCCCAATAAAAAAATTATTAAATTCATGAGATATAGCTCTTGGGTCATATAAACTTATGTTATCAACTTTAATCATCTGCGGCAGAAAACCTAAGCACGATTTTTGTTTTCCAGTAATTTCTTTCATAATTTTTTTTCTCATACGAAGATCTATATATTTTTAGACTCTACATCAGTTACTGTTTAAAACAATGCCACTTTTGAAAAATCGTTTTTTTCTAACTTTTTTAGCAGTCTACCACCTTAACAAGTTATTTTGATTTTTTTAAAGGCAGACTTTTAAAAAGTTATTTTGATTTTTTTAAAGACAGACTAGATTTTTAAATTTTCGAATTGACGGACGGATTTTTCCCGATGACCTAAAATAGCAAAAGTTACTCCAGTTCTTAGAGCAAAAAAAATAAACTAACATGAGAAACCATCTGTTGGTATCCATCAGCACTTAATTTTTATATGTTTTAAAAAATATATTTATATAACAGAATATATACCTGTTAACGCGGGCCTCAGTTTTTAAATTATCGTCACACTTGATTTATGGGATGGTGTAAATTTTGGTAGAGTGTGGCTATGGTATTTGTATCACATTTTTGGCAGATATGTTAAACACCATTTATTAGCAAATCTGTCACATATGCCCACATGTTATTTATATAATAAAGAATATAGCTGACACATTTTGACGTTCTAGAATCGAGTTTTTATTAATTTTGAGCCAAAGCATTTTATACAATTAATCTTGTATTATATATGAAAATATAGTGAAATAACCAACAGCTTTTGAAAATAGTTGAAAGTTTCATAAACTAGTTGTAAACAATTTGCTTAAACCAATCAAACTTTTTATCAAGTCTATTAGATATAACATAAGATGTTCCTCACCCAGCTAGCACGCAATTATAGGGCTATAGCCCTAGCTAACGTTAGCTAACGTATGTAAAATCAACGCGAACGCCGGCATTTTTTGCCATGTGTTTAGCAATGATGTAAAAAAAATGCTGGCAACTGATATTTGTCAACGCAACTCGAAACATTGTTCTAACGTTTTACCAACGTATGTGTGCTAGCTGAGCGAGGACCCATGTCAATCCTTTGTATAGAGAGTTAACAATTTATATTTAATTAGATAAAGTTATATCTGATATTTATATTTGATTATAATAATCAAATATAAATATCAGATATAACTTTATCTAATTAAATAATTAGATAAAATAATAAATATCAGATATAACTTTATCTAGATTAAAATAAGTCCTTTTATAAATAAAGTTTGAATTACACCGTATGATATTTAAATGACAAAGAAGACCTTTTGACTTTAGATCAACCGAATCAAAAGATTTTAACAAGGAATCTTTTGGTTCATCAACAAATTAGAAAAAAGTTATTTTATAAGACATAAATATTAAAAACCGTTTTTAATAAATATTGCTGATTTTCTGCTGATATTTATCTTATAATAAAAACAAAAAATGGTGTTATAAATAAATGCTTAAATAATATAAATTTTGTACAACATATAAACTGACATAATATATTTCTCTTTGGTTGCAATTTTATTTCATTTTAATTTTTTATTGAAAAACTTCAAACTTTGTTGTTAATCTTTACTTTATTGCCTATAGTTAATCGTGTTTAAAATTTTTTGACGATGATAACAATGATTGTAGCGAACTTAACTTCTTCCAGGGAGTCAATGAGAATAATGAGAATATTACTTCCCACATATGTTCATGCAAATAAGATACAGGGAAAGTTTGAGTTGGTGCACAAGGTTCTTGTTATTTAGTTGAAAATGGCGCTATGGATTTTATTGTTATATGTCAAGATTTAAGCTCCGATCCAATTTTTTTATCAATTATCTGCACTTGAATATTTCTTTACTTATTTTACTATCCAATATTTTTTTTTTATTGTATTATTTTGATGTCTAAAGACTGTTTAATCATTTGGGTT